GCCGGAACCTCTTCCAACTCATCCGAGCCACTGGCAGCAAGAAGTCTGGTGTGAGTGAAACAATCTACGAGGATGACGGGATGCCAATTACTAACATCTCTCGACGTCTTGGACGATGGGCGGAGTTTCTCGAAGGGCAGTTCAACTGGCCTGCTGCTCCGGCAACATCAACCAGTTTGTCCTGCCCCCCATGGCCGGTGACGACTGATCTACCAAACGAGGCGGGAGTCCGCAAGGAACTCCAACTCTTGAAGAGCTACAAATCACCGGGCCCAGATGACTTACCTCCGGCTCTTTTTAAAGATGGTGGTGACTTTCTGGCTAAGGAACTGACGGTGTTGTTTGCAAAGGTTTGGGAGCAAGAAAGTGTTCCGACATCATGGAATGAGTCAATAGTCGTCCCTATCTTTAAAAAGGGTTCACGTTGTTCCTGTAACAACTATCGAGGGATAAGTCTACTTCCGATTGCGTCCAAACTATTGGCTTCTGTCATTCTTCGTAGGTTGTTTAAAACCCGAGAACGGTTGACTCGCGAGGAGCAGGCTGGTTTTCGTTCTGGTCTAGGATGCATTGATCACATCTTCACCCTCCGCCAAATGTTAGAACACCGTCATACTTATCGCAGGCCAACAATCGTAGTGTTTCTTGATATCAGGGCTGCCTTCGATTCGTTGGACAGGACTGTTCTCTGGGATTGTCTATTGAAGAAGGGTGTGCCTGAGAAGTTCATTAACATCTTAAAGGCCCTGTATACGAACACCTCAGGCAGAGTGAGGGCATACAACCACCTTTCTCCCTTGTTCCATTCGAGCAGTGGGGTTAGACAGGGTTGTCCGATCTCACCATTCCTCTCCAACTTTGCCATCGACGACATCTTGGAAACAGCTCTGATGGATGTAAGTAATGGCGGTGTGGATATGTTGCCTGGAGAACGACTTCTCGACCTCGAGTATGCGGATGATATTGTCTTACTGTGCGATAATGCCCAAGGCATGCAATCCGCACTTAATCAGTTGGCAATCAGTGTCCGCAGGTACGACCTGTGCTTTGCACCCTCCAAGTGCAAAGTACTCCTACAAGACTGGCAGGATTCTCATCCTGTACTCACCCTAGATGCTGAGCAGATTGAAGTAGTTGAGAAGTTCGTGTATCTAGGTAGCTATATAAGTGCTGGTGGTGGCGTGAGTGATGAGATTGATGCACGTATAAGGAAAGCCAGAGCGGTTTATGCCAATCTGGGCCATCTTTGGCAAATTCGTGATGTTAGTCTGGCTGTAAAAGGTCGGATCTTCAACGCGTAATGCAGAGGTTCGGCATCGTGTGTTCGGGCGCAGAGACGATAATTCAATTGGTGTCACCATCTTGAAACACCGACTTCGGTTGCTTGGACATGTTTTACGAATGTCGTACCAGAGACTTCCACGTCGTGCATTATTTGCCGACTCTGGGACTGGTTGGAAAAAGCGGAGAGAAGGTCAGTGTATGACATGGTGTCGTGGTATGAAAGAAAGCTGCAAAGGGCTAGCTTCTGTTGGTCCTTCATGACTCCCTGGCTGGGGTCCGAGAGATGGTGCAACACAGTGGCTAGAGACGTTATCAGATATGGCTCAGAATAAAAGCCAGTGGCGAACCTGCTGTAACCTTCTTTTACTTTCTTCATAAAGAGTGGTTATAACTTTCTTAACTGAAAGAGTCTTCTGGTTGTACATTTCAGTCCGCCTTATCTTTTCATCCCTTCTCTTCCTACTTTCATTACTTTGTGTGGCGCATATGTATCTGGTGCCCTTCTGTACCAATATATATATGTGTTTAAATAAAATAAAAAAAAAAAATAATCCCTCCATGGTTTTCACAGGATGATTTTGACCCCTTCTTATATATTGGGACAATCAGTGATTGTGACCAATCAGATGGGATATCATTCAGTTCCCGGATTATGGCTAGAATGTTAGTCAACTTAACCGCTAAAACTGGACTAGCATACTTAAAGACCTCTGGAGCCAATCCATCTAGACCAGTTGACTTTCCTCGTTTCAGATTAGCTGTATCTTTCTGAACTTCAATTAGAGTCGGGGGACCTACTACGATTTTTTACTCAGGCTGTTTGGGAATTGTGTAGTTGGAGTAGCTGAAGGCCAGCTGAACTGCTTAAAGAAATTCACTGATCGGGCTAAACGTTTGGGCTGAAGGCAGTTAAGCTTGTCGTCTTTTTCGGAGATCGTCTCACACTTGACTTCTTGATTTCGGTTTCTTTTATTAGTCTGAAGAGTTGTCTGGTGTTACCTATGGCCGCTGTCTTCTCCATCTCTTGCGTTCGTTGCCCATCACTGCTCACGATCGTTCCTTAGACTTTTGTTTAACCTAGATCTGGTTTTTTCTCTTCATCGTGTTAGGAGCCTAATGGCAATTTGGTCTATTAGAGTCCAGGGGGTCGCCATGTTAAAAGATATCTTTCCTTTACTTAAAATTAGTGCTTGCTAAAAATAAACGATTAGTAGAGCACATTTGCAGCAGATGGTCACCGTCATCTGTTTGCTGAGCTGGAATACTAAAATATCCACATGAGTATCTTTCTGTTTGGTTTAAGCTACCTACTTGAACATTTAAGTCACCTGCAACGAGTACTACTTCTGAGCGTTTAGCTTTTTGAAGTTGAGAGAGCTTTCTGTAAAAGTACCCCAATAAAACAATGTTATGATCACTTTTTATAAGTGTGGTAAACTTGGTTTGTGCCACCTATTATTATAACTAAATGAAGGCTAATATGGCTCGATCCAAAACAGAAGGAAAGACTTAAGCTAAAGATTTATTATGTAGGAGCAGTAAACCCAATCTATAAGAAGGGACAAAAATCCTCTCGTAACAATCTTAGAGGGATTATTTTGTCTATCATACTGTCCAAAATGATAGCCTTAGTCATCATCCAAAGCTTGACTAGGATTGGTGAACAGCGAACCGAAAAATTAGGCTGATTTCAAATGTGGATATAAATATAGAGAACAGATATTCACTCCTGACTAGGTAGTTCTGTGACAACTACCTATTGATTCCCAGTGAATTGTACTTCTTAGCCTTAAAGTTGCGTTCAGTTCTGTAGATCGATAAGTTTTATGGTAGTCTCTGTCATTTAAAGACATTAACGAAGTACATTATCCTTGTATAGGTTCTTTACTCGAACACGACTGGTCGAGTCACAGATTATGACGACCTATCATCGGAATCGATAACTTCAAGTGGTGGTGGTCAGTTCTGTACGCTTTCACCACTTTTGTTTGACTTCGTCATAAAAATTCTTTTAGAGATAACGCTCTCATCGTTTAACTTTTTAGAAGATAATCTCCTACTAACAAGATCACTTATTGGCTTAGAATATGGAGATGACAGTTCTTTTTGATGAAGGCGCTGACAATATGCACTTTTGACTGCCCTAAATAAAAATGCAAGAAGGTTTGCGACGTGTTTCTCACCCTCCAATTCCGAAATATTGCTTCAGGATTGATATGCTTCTGACCTGGTGGTAGGAATTCAATTAGATGAACTCGTCTACCACTTCCCTCAACCTGGAAGCCTGTCTCAGTCTTGGTGGGTTGGTATTTGAGAAAATCTCGTTATGAAAGGTCGGTTAGATCTTGCTAGTTTAGATCACCTGTGGCGCAGGCAAGATATCTGTCTGCTCATTAACAGACGAGTATAATGCGTAGCAGTTTGCTCCATTCTACTTTACGGCAACGAAATATATTTAAAAATAGAGGATATTCGTTGGTTACTAATATTCTATCATGAAGTTAACTTAGCTTAAAATAATTCGTTCACCAGATACTTGGGTTTAAGCCACGTTTCAAATGTGAATGCTAACGATACTATCCGGTTACCTAGATCAAATCAGGTGAAGCTAAGTTCAAACCCGGTACTAAGTTAGCGAGAATCAAACTCCTTAATCATTAAGCCAGCTCTTCACATTGATGCCTTCAAAGCATTACCCCTATTGGCTAACATAATATAGTTAGCGATCTGAGGTTAGATGCTGGTTACTAGGTAAGGATGACAAATCGAGTGATGAAGCAGTGAATCTTTATCGACTGTGATAGTTAGGACATGTATTACGCATGCTCGTGGTGGACGATGAAGGAGTTGTTTAGAAGAAAGCTAGGGGTCACCAAATCAACGTGACATCGGTCCATAAAAACACTAGCTGTTGAACTAAGCCATGTAGGTATGTACAGACTACCTGATTGGAGTCCATGCGATTATCTTGATCAGTGATAGGAGATATTAAGTGATATGACTACGAATTGTTCTCAATGGCGCAGTCACATTTATTCTTCGTCTTCTCGTAGATCTCAAACTCTTTAATTATCCTATAAATTTTCTAAACTCCACTGATCCACAATTTTTCCGGTTGTGTCTTCTATACCTGATCCTTTCTGTTACCACTAATACTGTTACTACATGCACTACTCTGAGATTCCCCTTGAAATTTTCATCCCACTCTACTAATGATTTTTGGGAAATTAAACCGATGTACACATGTGCCAGATTCTGGGTTGCATATGACATACTGAACAGTAAATTCACAACTAATGCAACCCCTGATCAACCACCATACCTAAATTACAATAAGTAATGTGTGATTTACCCAACCAATCAATAGTCAAATTTTAATACATTGAAGTAGACGGTGGTTGATGTAAATTGATCGATTACTAAATGCAGTTATGCGATTCACAGCATCAATAGATTATACATCATCAACTACCTATATAAACGAATCGCCGAATTGTATGTTTACTCCCGCCTAACATGACTTAGAAACTTTCAACGGGTTAGTAAAATTTCCAAAGGCATACAAAATTGAGTTACTGCAAGCTTAACATATTCTCGGATAAGGTTGTTAGGTTGTCTGTCAAGTTATTGTGTGTTGTTGATATTGATAACATTTTCTCTCATCTACGTTTGCTATTTCAGACATATTCTTTGCTTGAAACTTGAAAAAAAAAAACATGGACGATCAAGTACAATGTCAATTCATAACAATATTCATTTGTTTCATAGCAACAAATGCCGTGTTGGTACTATGAAAGAGAAGAATTATATAAAACACCATCATATTATGATCAAATTGACCATGAAACAGAGACACGTCATCGTAGAGAAGGTGCCAGATTTTTGTCAGCCGTTAGTACCAAATTAAATCTTCGATATGATACATGTGCTACAGCGATTGTATTCTTCCATCGATTTTACATGTTCCATTCATTTAAGGCATTTCCACGTTATGTAGGTCTACATGTCAGGGTTTATTATTTATGAATATCCTTTTGCAGGTAACGGCTGCTTGCTGTTTAATGCTAGCTGGAAAAGTGGAAGAAACACCCAAAAAAGTTCGTGATATTGTTAAAACCGCTAGATCATTGCTATCTGATGCAGATTTTGAACAATTTGGAAATGATCCTAGGGTATGTAGTATTATTATTTGTTTTAATAATAAACTTAAATTATTCCCCTTCCCTCATTTGTCCTATTATTTGTAGGAAGAAGTAATGGCATTCGAACGAGTTCTACTAAAAACGATTAAATTTGACTTGCAAGTTTCACATCCATATTCCTATTTACTTCAATTCGCAAAAAGAATCAAAGGTCAGTGTTCGTTACTCATCCATCAGTATATGAGTATTAGCTTTCATTATTTTCCAGGGTACAGGAGTAATAAGTTAGTGTAACTCGACAGTCAAGTAAATGTTCATATATTTTTTGTGTAAAGGTTATTGATAACACTTGGCTACCAAAACTGAAGTAATTAGGGTAGGAACACAGACACACTTGTTGCTATTCCTTTTTAGCCATTTTACTTAGTTTAAGTGTCTGTGCACAGTCCTTACCTAAACTAGTGGTAGCGATTGGTTTGTTTTATTGTACAATACCAAGAAACCCACTTCTTCGTCACCTGCATACATGCCCTACAAGATAAAACCAACGTTTTCAACTGCCTGGTCTGATTTATCTGAATAAATTTTCATTCGAACTAGTGAATTGGCTTTTACAATCAATTAGTAAGAAAGGCTTATCCGTCACTTATTTAGACGACGATTTTTCTGGAGAGATGGTTGTCTAAGAAAGATTTTCCCCCGTTTTTCTTAATAGAAGCGCCTGAGCAGTGTATATCAAACCCGATAAGTCCACGTTTCCTACATATATCGACATTTTTTCTAGGTGTCTCATTCTGTCGAAAATTTTATTAGATTTAGTCCATATTGAGGGACTAGATTGAGTGATAAGTCGTGACTAGGTAATACAATTAGCCAAGTCCTTTGGATCATGGGTTGCAATCTGAAGACTTAAGTGATAAAGTTTTTTAACACAACATTAAACTACACAGTGCAACAATTTCACTAAGAATGATGTGTACGTGCGCTAAGCTACTATTTCGCAGTCCCGAATTTATTACTGTTAACGAGATCACTACAATTCTCTTCTTCCCTACCGCGTTAACTAGAGTAAGCCGTCCAGTTTGGTAATAGAAGCTTTGTTGATGACGACCACAGTAGAGTTAAAAATACGATTGTGTCGATCAGTTATATATCGATTACAAAGATAATATTTTATGAACTGAGTAATTATCAACAGCACAAATCATAGTGAAACTGCATTAGAAGTCCACAATGTCACGATAATTTGTTGAAAGTTTACCTTAAACTCACTGTAAGTCGATACGAATTTTCTTACCCATAGGTTGTATCAAGGGATTATACATCCCCAATAAAAACATTTAGACCTAAACCTTGATTGTCAGTGGTAGATAAAAGTTCGTGTTAGTAATTTATTTCAGATTGATTTCAACCACTATATAATCCCTATTACCATTTTTATGCTTAACAAAGTAATCGTTGATCTGAGTCATGTTGGTGGATCCAGACCACTTGATTGGGGTCCGCACCACGACTCAGCTTTTTATTCACTGAATTGTTTTCATCTAGTTATGCTTATATGTTTTGGTAACTTGGGATAATATGCATCTGTGCTGGCTCCTATGCTTATTATAACTGACTGTGTAGTCAGTTTGAGATAAATGCTAACTTCAATATGAACGATGTTATGATTTAAATAACCTCTACTTATACTTTTTGTCCTTATTGTAGGCAATCAGGAGAAACTGAAAGAATTAGTTCAAATGTCATGGTCATTTATTAATGATAGTTTAGCAACAACACTATGTTTACAGTGGGAACCAGAAATAGTCGCATGTGCTGTTCTTTATCTAGCTACACGTATGAGTAAATTTACAATAGAAGATTGGGAAGGTCGTCAACCAGGTCAGCGTTGGTGGGAATGTTTTGTTGAAGGTATGAGTACTGAAGTAAGTTCACTTGCCACTGATGTTATTACTTCTTTTAAGCAGTTTCAGTTTCGCATACTTTTTTACTCTGGTCACAAACTGACACCCACTGAAGAACATTTGAAACGTAAAGAACCTTACATAATGAACCATTGGCTTATTGATGATATAACTTGGTTTTCGATTGATTGATAGCAGGTTATGGGTCAGTTTGGACAGGCAAGTGATATTACTCACTCCTGTAATAATAGTGTATCACAAAATCGAATACATAAAAATGTGCCTAATTAATAAATTTCATTAATTTAAGTCATGAAGGAATACCACATAGCTATGTTACCCCTTATTTGTGACTGTTCTATAGTTTACACATAGTGCCGCTTAATATTGGGTCAGAAGTTTAAAACCAATATAGTTTGCCTAATGTTCACCATTATGGGGATCATCTGTGTTAATTGTACTAAAGTTGGCTTTGTATTTGTATAAACCAATGCTTGGATTATTATCTTTAGTGTAAATAATAATGATTGTTTAACGCAAAATCATTTCAATAGAAAAAATCAATATATCAGCACATACAAATTTCATGCAATTAATTGTCTTTACGAATTTGAATAAAGCCAAAGAGAATATGGATGCAGAATAGTATGAATTCATTATATTTTGTGGTTGGATGCCGGCTCAGTGGTCTATCGGTTAAGGGCTTCGGCTCCAGACTGGTAGGTCCTGGTTTCGAATCTCGCGAGAGCGGGTCCGTGGATGCGCACTTCTGAGGAGTCCCATAGTAGGACGTAACGGCCGTCCAGTGTTTCCAGGTTTTCCATGGTGGTCTAGCTTCAATTGACTCATGCTTTCAACTATGAAAAATACTAAATCTCCACAAAACCCCTTCTGATAATTAATATAATCATATGCTCACTAGTGACTTCGAGAAGTATATCTAGGAGCTCTAGTGAGAAGCAGCGACCAGTGGAGTTCAAAACCACGTCTGTTGTGAGATAGGAACTCACTGAAGACAATTGGTGAATGGTTGCTCAACTTCGTGGATCAGTTGAAGTTAGACATTAACACCGTTGGATGCCAGCTCAGTGGTATATTTTTTATTTATTTATTTAAACCTATAAACATTTGATACAAGGAGGCAATAAATACATGGGATACTGCCCGGATGCCCAAACCGAAACAGGTGGTTTTCTTATGGGGCCACATCCCGAACCTTTGACCTAAAAATCTGATCCACAAGACAGTAGAGCAACCTTAGGAGATGCAGTCCTTTGTTAGCCGGTGACCAACAATAGGTTCATGCGCCATTTGTTCCCTCAAGATTCTGGAGCCTATGTTCACCACTGGTTTGAAATCAGGGTTTCCCAACTCCCCTAGGTGGACCTTCCATGTTAACCACCAACCCGGTTAAATCGTCGAACATTCGCTTCTCGTCCTCTCAATTTCGTAAACAACAACAGTGCCGTGAGAAGGCTAGTGATTATATGCACGTGTCCATGTGAGAGTATTTGGAGAAGGAGAGCTGACTCTCTCCACTCTCGGCCGTGCCAGGGTATATATATATATATATATATATATATATATATATATATATATATAGTTATGATTGATAATCTTTACCATTCCAATTCTTTTCATTCGCTTATGTCAATTGTTTCACATTATATCTTACCTCGTAAAATTTTAACACATATTTGGTTGTAAGCACCTGATGAGAAACCACAAAATATAATGAATCCATATTATTCTGCATCCATATTCGTTCTGACTTTATTTAAGCTTATGGAAATGCAGATACGCTGAATACATCTCTGTCTAAGGATGACTAGATCCATCTAAGAGGGAACGGTTTTCGGAGATACTATTTAAATTAGACGATATGCCTCATGATAGCACCCAACAGTGGAATTTAAATTAAGCGTTTCTCTCTAGTTAGGTCTCATCAATCTGAATTACTTTTATCTAAATACTAATGCATCTACTAAAACACAGACTCACATTATCCCAAGTTACCAGAACACATAAGCATAACTAGATGAAAATAATTCGTGGGGTAAAAAGCAAGTCAAAATATGAGTTGTATGAATATTCGTCAAACAGACTAAATGTTGGGGATATATTTCTAAGAGAAGAGATAAAAAGAAGATATATATGAAGCAATACTGAAATCCAAAGTCTGAAACAAAATGAACAGTCAGTGGGTTTGCTACTCTGTGGCAAATTTTGACCTACATCATCAAACATCTGCAATCATTGATTGTAGGTGTGTCGCTGACCCCAATCAAGTGGTCTGGATCTACCAACATAACTCAGTCCAATGGTCACCAACTTCATGAACTGATATTATTTTTTGGTTAGACCTCTCGTAGTTTTCTCCACATTTCTGTTTACTCCAGCCAACTTTACATTTTGGGGTAGGTGGAAACTTTGGACATTCAACACTTGTCCAAGCCACCTCACTCGAAGAAGTTTCTCAGACCGCAGTATCCAGTAATAAAGTACAAGGGCACCGTATGAAATTTAGGAAATATAAAATGTCATTGAACTCATTAACCGATCTAAGTCAAAAATCTCCATAATCTTTTGCTGATTCTTTCAAGAAATCCATATAGTTTGATACAGACTGATTAACTGCATGAAAATAAATTTTTTTAGAACAAAATTATTCTTTATGTATTAATTTGGATGGTATGTTCCTTATTATACAAAATTGTGTTGTACTAGTTAAAAGTCTCAGCTCTGTAATGCAACCCAGTACATAATGAAAATTTTTTTCAAAGAAAAATTTGACAATTGAAAGAACAATTCGTTTTACTCAGATTAGTTTCCTCCATTAGCCTATTTATTTAATAGTGAATTATTGTAGCTACTTTTTAAAATCTTTTTCCCAAAATAAAAACATATCTAGGTTATGGAAGATATATGTCATAAAATTTTAGACTTATACCCTGCTGATGGGAATACTGGTGATGAACAGGTTGGAAGTAATAATACTACTTTTACGAATAAAATAACAACGAATAATATTAATTGTAACAGTAACAGTAATGTAACTAAAAGTGAACTACCAATTCATCATTTAACGCATTCAACATCATTCGATTCAAGCAAATATCATGGAATAAATAGTAAAGCAGAGCCACCTGCTAAAAGGCAAGCATTGATGCGTCCGTCAGGGAATAATGTTTATTCATCAAGTGTACACACTGGTCCTTCTATTGGTAGCAGTAATAATAATAACAATAATAATAATAATAATGTTACTTCATCGATTATGAATAACAATACTGCAGTAATGAAACATGTTCCATATTCCTCACATTATCATCTACCAGTTGGTGCAATTGTTAACAAAAATAAAACAACTGTATATAAATGATATTACGCTGGAATAAGTAAGTGATATATTATTAGTTTCTAAAAGAAAGTTTGATGATATTCACAGGCTCTCCTCATATAACTGATACAGTAACACTTTACTTAATGAATCTCAATGGACTGCAACCCAGTGATCTGAAGGTCACGTACTTACATACTTACGCCTACTACCCCTCGTGGAAGAGCATAGGCAGTCCACCAGCTGATGGTATCCAGTCAACGGACACTGAGTATCTTGTATAGACAACTGTTTATCAATACTTGTACACTTTTGATGATGGCTGTAGTAGTTGTGGATGTTTCAGGTCCGTACAACAGAACTGTTTTGATGTTTGTATTGAAGGTTCTGACTCTGGTGTTGACTGATAGTTGTTTTGAGTCCCAGATGTTATTCGACTGCAGGAATGCCATCCTTGAATTGCTAATCCTTACGTTCACATATGCATGAGATCCTCATTGCTCATCGATGATGTTGATCAGTCAAGTATGTGAATGTTTCCGCCTGTCCCATCAAGTGTGATTGGGTTGGTGTTATCTGTGTTATATTTGGTAGCCTGCTTATATTTGGCGGCCTGCTTAAACATCTGGGCTACCTGTTTCCCGTCATCTATATATTTCAACAAGTTATCTAATATTGTTTGTTTTAATACATCATTATGGCTATTAAGCACACAACCTATTCCGGTGCGTTTCTGAAAACTGTACAACCTTTCGCTGTAAAAGTTAGAAAAGGTCTAATCAGAGATGTCGTGTTTGCTGGGAACATGCAGCAAAAAAGGATATACATTATTCATATGTCGATTGACTGAACTTCTGACATCCAACTGGCGATCACTGAATGTTTATCATCAGGAGCAACGAAGAAATAAGAAACGTAAATATGTTGAAATACTTTATGCTGAGAATTCGATTTTGTACCAAATAATATAATATTGAATCAAGCTAATAATAATAATAATAATAATAATTTGAGGGTCTTGCTTTTTTCACTGTGTATGTCGAGGCCTACTGATGCTGAGACTGCTGCTACATCGTTTTTATTGACCTGCACTTGTTGATGTGTATAGGATAGAATGGCCAGGTCATCTGAGAAGTTCGAATAGTCTAGTTGAATGCAAGCTTCCCACTCTATTCAGTGATTCCACTGAGATGTGGAGGTCTTCACAATCCAGTCGACCAGCAGAAGGATGTGGGAAGATGAGAGTAATCTTGTCTGACTTGTCCCACACCGATCCTCACTTCGAATGAGTCTGTCCTCCATACACGACTTTGCAGTGTAGTCCGTTGTATGAGTTCCGTATGATGTTGGCGATCTCAGATACACAGAAGTGTTAAACAAGGTTCCATCAGGTTCTCCTATCCACACTGTCAAACACTTTCTCATGATCAACGAAGTTCATGAATAGTGACGAATTCCATTCGATTGGTCGCTCGACAATGATCCGTAGAGTCGCGATCTCGTCTGCGCATGATTGATCCTCAACGAATCCAGTCGGTTGATCATGAAGCTGGACGTCTACTCAATCTTTCATCCGGTTCAGCAACACTCTGTTGAGAAATTTTCCTGGTAACGATAATAGTGTGATGCCTGTGTAGTTGAGTTCCCACACTCACTCATATCTCCTTTCTTTGGAATCTTGATGAGGTATCCTTTCTTCCAGTCTTTCAGTGGCACTTGTTCTCCTTCCCGAGTATTCTTAAATAGGACACGGAGTATCTTTGCAATTACTCTTATGTCTGATTTCAGTACTTCTGCTTTCCCATTCGTGATTTGGTTGATTGTCATGCTGCTTTCTTCTATTGTTGTTGGGGTGACAGCTATGGGAAGGTCTGTGTGTGCCGTTCTGATGTCCGTTAGGTTCAGTGGGGCTGGTCTGTTTAAGAGTTTTACAAAGTGTCCAACCCATCTGTTCCACTGTTTTTGAATTTCAGTGATTGTCTTGCCTTCTTTGTCATTGACTGGTCACTCTGGTTTACAATATTTCCGTGCTGGTTTCTTCGTTGTACCATATAGTTGTCTAATATTTCTTTCTCTTTCAGCTTTCTTCGCTTCCACTACTAGATTATTCACATATTTCTGCTTGTCGGCTCTAGTGCTCCTCTTCATTTTCCTGTTTGCCTCTTTGTATCCGGTCTGTGCTTTGACTTTCTTTGTTCTCGCGAGGCAGGGTCGTGGATGCGCACTGCTGAGGAGTCCCACAATATGACGAAACGGCCGTCGAGTGCTTCCAGGTTTTCGATGGTGTTCTAGCTTCAATTGACTCATGAATTCAACCATGAAATTACTAAAATCTCTACAAAACTCCCTTCTGATAAATAATAATAATATATTCAAACTGTAGTCATTCAGAAGTTGTGTTTAATAAATATTTTTCCAATAGTCAGTAACTCCTATTCATTTCTAGTAATGAAACTTTATCATCAATTCAGGTGTCAAAACTATTTTTTTTTCATTCATCAGATATTGGGTAGTAGTGCATGGATTCCAATATATTCGTCCCTCGTTTTTATTTTTTTACAAACGGTGGACAATGAGGGGAATATACCGATAATTGCACTATTTCATTTTGAGATTTCAAGTATTTTGCATCACAATAGGTTTTAAGGCTTTCATAATACTCTATTAGTGCACTTATGATTTATATTCATGTTCAAACAAATCTAAAACAGGCAGTATTCATATCGTCTAAAAAGTAGGTCTAAACTAGCTGCCAGATAATGTAAAACCAATGGAAATACTACATTGTAATCAATTTTGAGTTACATCATCCAATATCTCATCATAAAAGCCTTAATCGGAAATCCTACTGTGGTTGTGTGCTAGTAATGTCGACAGATATAAGTATTATGTATCATCAACCGGAAGTGACATGTCTGGCGGCACAATGTTAAGAAGATCAAAGAAAAGAGAACGAGAACAAAGAATAATTGGTATGAAAACGAAAGAACAATGAAGTCTGAGACGATTGACTGATATTTGTAAAATGTACAGTTAAGTTTGAGACAATTGGTTGACATTTTTTAAATATTTACTGTATAGTTCTAAGATTTTATTTAAATATTCTATAATTTTGTATTCAAATACATTCGATTGTCCCCAATTGTGTTCTCATCCACTACACTACTATTTTAAATTGTTATCATATCTCTTCATATTTGTCTATTCATGATATTTTCTATTTCTGATTCTTCTCAAATACTCTTCATTTATATTTCATAATAAATATATACCTAGATTAATTAAATGTATAACAACATTGCTAGAAAACACTAATAATTTAAAATGATCTCAGTTATTGATAATTATATAAATAAAATGATTTTTATTTTATGTTTTAAAAGTCAGTATTTAGATTTATTTATTTTAATAGTTGAAATCATGAGTCAATTGAAGCTAGACCACCACGGAAAACCTGGAAACACTGGACGGCCGTTTCGTCCTATCGTGAGACTCCTCAGCAGTGCGCATCCACGATCCCGCCTCACGAGATTCGAACCCAGGACCTACCAGTCTCGTGCCAGAGCACTTAACCGATAGACCACTCGGCCGGCATCCAGTGCTTCCAGGTTTTCCATGGTGGTCTAGCTTCAATTGACTCATGATTTCAACTACGAAAATACTGAAATCTCCACAAAACCCCATTCTGATTTGTTTATTTTCTCTAAATTACAGGCATTCATGTATACAGCAGTTTATTAAATGAATCAAACGGTGAAGCTTACTTTATTTATTGTTGCATTCAGTGCCTGAAAAGTTTTCAGTTTAGATCGACTCTTTTGATCAACTTTTTATTTTTAGTCAGACTACTGTATTTTCTGTATGTACAAATTATATATATAAATAAATATTTAAATATATCTGTGATGAAAAACTCAAGTTTTGTTAAAATTAACGTTTATACTGCGTACCTATCTTTTTCCTCTTTTGCCTTTCATTAACATCCTGCTCTTCATATGAATTCGGTTAAAATTTGGAATCATACCCTTCACTGATGAGTACAGTAACGAACACTAGTTTTATTTGACAAAACATAATTATTCCTCAGAAGATACTCATAACCGATAGTTGTTATATCATGTTTATTCAGTAGCTTAAATGTGATTAGATATTTCCAGTTCATCTGTTCGTGATACTTCTCATAGTTACTATCAATAATGATGATGACTCCATTTGAATTTCAGTTATTGATTTGCACGTCGTTGTTGGGAATTGTCTGATATAGAATTGAGGCATTTGACTATTTATTTTTCTTTGTGTTCTTGCCGACTGTCTTGTTCAATTGGACACTTGCTACCTGACTGGCTTACCCTACTTGTGTAAATTGATAAGTCACGTCTCCGTCGATATTTCTTATTAAGATCAAATTAACTTGCAGGAATTCTCTAGAATCCTTATTTTTTCGAATTAGAATTTCTACATTTTCCCAATCCGATTCTTGTCCATAATTATCTACGCGTAGTGCTACAATATGTTGTATCTTCCCACTGATAATCTGTGTTTGTCTATACATAAGTTATAGGGGAATCCACTTTGGTCGATATAATGTTTGCTACAATTGGTGCATTTTATTTAACGGATGATGTTGCTGCCTTTAGCATAACTTTTTTAATAAAACACAAGAAGTAATTTCTTGCGATCTGAGTTTTACAAGGATATGACACATTTTAAAAAAAAAGTAGAACATTTACTAGGCTCTCCTAATTAAAATAAGTTTACGGCTTAAAGTTATACCAGATCATCGTAGCAGTGATGAATTGTAAATTTGAATTTATAATTCTAAACTCGTTCCTGTGGTGTTAAGATGACAGTCTTCAGTAATTTATTGATATGATCAACTTCAAGTAATATATTCTAGCTACCTGGTTTACGTTGTTAGTCTGTCAATCAGTCATGGACATTTCTACAAACTCTAATATTGACTTGAAATATTATCGCCAAATCGAACTAAGAAGTATGCCTAATTCATTCAAGTGATCTACTAAGGTTTTAAACAATGAACAAAGTGTTTGAATCGTTAACATCTTTTTACAGTGAACAAACCAGTCATTAAGTTACAGTTGTATTCAACAAGATCATACATGCTAAATGATAAAATATATATATTATGCCATTCAATGAAAAGAAAAAAAAACGTAGGTAGTTAACGAAAGTAACGAATTCGAAGAATCGAAGTTACTACAATTTTATGCAGTAAAGTAATTATTTCAGAGAAAAGCAATAATATATATTGTAGAAGGTCAGATGAATAAATCGGTGGGAGAAGCAAATATTCATTTAACTATTAAGGAAGATTTTTTTCTCCTTCGCATCTTTGTTCAAGTGTAAGTAATCGATAGGACTGAATATTTCCATCTTGAATCTTTCTGGATGACAGGGGGATTAACTGTAATTATTACATTTTCATTCTTAAAGTTTTTCTTTGTACGTTTCGAATTTCTTCATGACAGTCTATATTTGTCCACTTTGAGTTGGATGTCATTTTCCTCCTGATATCTTGTACAATGAAATCATAATCAGCGTCCAAAAGCAAACTAGATTGGGCTATTCGGCCATAGCTTCGATTACTGAATTTATGAAAAGCAGCCTGTAAATAGATATTAGCAAAATAAACATATGCTTAATCTCACTATCTGATCAGTTAGTTAAAACTTGTGTGAGCGGTAAAAATGAAGTGGTTCAATGAGTATACTCATAGTGTATTAGTTATTACATGGTGTTATAATATATACATCAAGTTGTACATAATATTAGTGTACTCAACTTTACTCCACACATTCCCATGTGAAGGTTAATGATATAACTTGGCTCTTCGAACTGAATGATAGGCACAGGTGAATTCTAACCTGAGATTCATTAAACTAAAGCCTATCACTTTGATTACCAACCCACGTTGATGGTAAATTTTAAATAATCACAAACATTTTTAGGCAGAATTCCGAATCCCGCGCTGGCGAGATTCGAACCCAGGACCTACCAGTCTCGCGCCAGAGCCCTTAACCGATAGACCACTTAGCCTGCATCCGTTGGTGTTAATGTCTAACTTCAACTGATCCACGAAATTGAGCAACCGTTCACCAATTGTCTTCAGTGAGTTCCTATCTCACGACAGACGTGGTTTGAACTCCACTGGTCACTGCTTCTCACTAGAACTCCTGGATGTACTTCTCGAAGTCCAGTGCTTCCAGGTTTTCCATGGTGGTCTAGCTTCAATTGACTCACGCTTTCAACTATGAAAGATGTAACTCGTTATTTTGTTTACTGAAGTTTTAACATCACAATACGTCAGAAGTTTGGGACATAATAGATAGTATCATTTAACCCTAATATAGTAACCGTGACTTCAAGACTTGGATAATGAACTTCACTTCGTTTATCAGTCTTATAATAATAATAATGCAACCAGGAAAAAGTATCATCCAAACATAATTCGCAAGCTTTCCGATGGTTCGAACCTATTTTATTCAGTCCTATCCACTGGTTAATGAGACTCCAACTTATTACTGAGTATAGCTATAAATTATTCGATAAATAACAAATAACAACCAGCTTCATGATAAGTGATGCATGTTCAACTCTTTGAAGCAATATGGGTTTCCGTAGATTTCAAGTTATGAATACTTACAATTGACAACAAGCCTGCGGGGTAAGTATAGGATCTTTACAACAGATTGTAAATGCCTAACGTCAAAAAATACTGATGATTGATTTTGTATCGCTCCAAAACATTCCTCAGTCCAGACACTCGATACCTTATACATCACCTAAGGATGATACCGAGATCTGTTAATTTGTATGCATAATAATCAGGACAAATCAGCATCACCTTAATGCTATTTAGATGGCAAGTTATTGTTCATTCGTTCTTGGTTTTCAACAGATAGCAACGCGTGAATAACATAAATAATTGGGACAAGTAGTATTGTTTCACTCCTTTTCCTAAAACTTAATACGTACGATTTTGTGGCTACTTATATTTATTTAAGAATGACCCTTTAGTGCTAAACGTACCGATTTCGAAATTTCTTTTTTGGTTAAATTTCCTATTTGGATTGATCACTTACCTCGTAATTTCTGTTATTTGTATTGGAGATTGGTAAAGTTCGTACAATACTTTGCACATATAGGAGTACCATGGGCAACAGATTGGTAACATTTTCATGTCCCATACTTAGGCCAAGTACTTTTGGCCATGTTTCAAATGTTACTGATAAACCCAAACTGCCATTATTTCCAATCTGAATATCATCTGTCTCGCTTTTTCCATTTTCATACTCTAATCGTATAAGTTCACGCGCCAAGTAGACGCCAGCTGCGCATTTTACACTTGCTAAAGTACCTGCAGTTGATAGTTCAGTTAAGTTCAATTCAAAAAGATAACGACAAACTAATTCTATCTATAAATTTATGGGAGAGAAGCAGAAAATAATTTTCAATCATCAACTGCCTATTATTATTATTATTATTATTATTATTATTATTATTAGATCAGAATATAAAAATGCCTATACTTCTAAACCAGTCTAATTGCAAAACACGGGTTTTCAAAATCTCACTGCAACTTACTAAACAGACTCATGTTAATATGTTCTGTCACAAGAAACACATTTTACATCAGGCCTGCTCAAATTGTAGTAGAAGAGAAGTTTGAACAAGCAACCCAATAACTGATGCTTTAAACATTAAGCCATTGTTCTAGAGAAGCCGTTGTAGTCTTCCTGTCGTACAAGGAATCATGTTTTTATTTTCTATATAGACCAACTCGGATTACTAAGATATTCTTGGTCAAAAGACTAGTTCATTTTCGGGAGAATAACTATGTTGGCTGAAGTTGAATTGACTGTTAGGTATGGCTCTTTGTGTTTTTCTTGTCAATTGTATGGTTCCGCGTCAATAATTCACAGGCCTTAGTAGAAGCGGATTGTATCGAGTCTATTTTACCCATTTAACTTTATTATTATTTCATTTAGTTTTATTTCATTATTATTGGATCTCGAAACGGTATCTCGCTCACCACAAGATACGTAGGTAACACTGAAGCGTATGAGGTTTAAGGTTACATATTGATGGAGAGTTTTAAACTGAGATCAGATGATTCTTACATACTTCCCAAACTTCAATATTTTTCGAGCATAGAATTCATCACCAAAATCAAATGGAATTCTGAGAATATAGATCTTGGAAGAGCTGAAGATTGAAATACAGAATTGTCTTTTCGAATTGGCCACTTCTATCTAAATATCTGTTCAAAGGATTTTAAATTTCTGATCAAATCGAGCGCTTTAATTGGCTCAAAATCTTTAACATCAAGCTTCCTTTCGTAAAATCATTCATTTAGTCATATGCAACATGAAACCTGGCCCATATATTCTTCGGCTCAAGTTGCCACACTACACTAGCATAGTGATGACGAGCCCGGAGTAGAAGAAGTAGTAGCAGCTCCAGCAGTAGTACAAAAAATTGGGTACAGATGAAAGCATAAAGAGATATAGAGACTCAGAAAGTACAAAGAATGAATGTATTTGCGCCATTGCGGAAGACTTTAATCCATGTCACCCAAAGTCTTCAGCCATTGGTCATGATAATCACGTTGACCTCAATCAGATATTCTGCGTCCGCTTGATGATGACTTTCGTGAACTGATCCCACGTCTTGGTTAGACTCCTGAGCTTTAAACCATCATACTGCTCTTGTTACATCAGTGTCTGCACTCGTATGTCAACCAAATTGTTAAATCGCTCAAACAAACTGATAAAACTGTATCAATCGAGTAAATTCAGTAACAACTTATTGGTTGTGGTCCCTTATGCCAACAACGGGAAAAACAAACCCTTACAAGTAACCTCGTACCCGTTGAACAAGTGCGTGGCTATTCGGACTCAGTAGCCCATGTGGATGACGCTCTGACGTCGTAATTGAAAGGTTCTGAGCCTCAATATGAAAATAAACACTAGGATCCAGATGCGTCAAGCTGATGAGCATCAGTGGATGAAACACGCATCTTGAATTTTACTGCTAGACGCAATCCAACCAAGTGCCAGTATCGACGAAATCTGCTCAATGTGAAATTGCAGCAAGATAAGCTGTTCAGTTTCAGTCCTAACCCTTCCAAAAAGATTCCCTACAGTATCTAAACAAACGTTATCTTATTGCGTCATAGCTAACATCCTTATAATTAGTTATTATTATTCACTATTATTTAAAAAACCCAGTGAGAAACAAGAAGGACTGGACATCTGTTTCGTCCTAGTATGGAACTCATCCGCAGTAGGCATTCACGACCCCACTGCAAGAGGGACGGAAACCAAGACCTTCGGTCTCACGCACGTACATTTAATCTTTAGACTATAGAGCCGGCTTACAATTGTATACATGTCTAACTGCTATCAATGCATAATACCGTTCAATAATCTTCCAATTTATTGAATGGGCAACTACTTTACATTCGGCATTGTTGAACTCCACTAGAACTCCGGAATTATCTGTCGAAATTCGATGCTAGTGAATACATGAATATTTACTATAGGGAGTTTATGGAGTTCTTTTACTTTTATAGTCAGTATCATGGACCGATCATAGTTAACCTATCGTACGTAAAAATAACTTGATAAAGATATGGAATGTAATTAATTTTTTATTCCTATAGTTAAAATAAAACTTACCTTCGCCTTGCCAGTTAGAGTTAGATCATTACAAGCTGCAAATGCACGATCTAAAAAGTGATGCGGTAAGGGTATATTGATATCAAAATCCAACGCTTCTAACATTTTAAATTCAAAATCTAGTACCTTTATAAGTAAAAGAGCAAAGTAAAGTAGAATGGTCAAAGTAGCTTCATTGTTTACATGTCGTACTAACTTTGACTTAAAAACAATTGAAAACCTGAAATGGTTGGGCAAGTCATTCACCCTAATATGGAGTTATATACGTGAAGAATTTCAGGTCAGGTTGTCGGGAAAAAAACATCTGAAATAAGTCTCACTTCTGTGGCCTCGGTTTTGATGACGATTTGTTATTCCACCAATTGTATTGAATGGTATAACACCAGATCCAGAAGCAGCCATCAGAGAGCTTATATAGAATCAGTTCCACCTACTAAGCTTCATGGAAACAATTTCTAAATTAATCAATGAATGTAGGATATATTGCGCTTATAAATACTGTTTCTGTGAACTTTTTATAACTAATGCTCCCAAATGCCCTGGCACGGCCGATAGTGGGGAGAGTCAGCTCTCCCTCTCCGAATACCCACATGGACACGTGCATATAACCACTACCATGGAAATCCTACTCACTGACTTCTCACGGCACTATTGATGTTCACGAAATTGAAAGGACGAAAAGCGAATGTCCGACGCTTTAACCGGGTTGGTGGGGAACATGGGTTCACGTATCCCAAGGGAACAACTGGCGTATGAATCAATCGTTGGTCACTGACTACCATGGGACTGCATCCTCTTACGATGCTCCACTGTCTTATGGATTAGACCTTTGGGTCGGAGGTTCGGGATGTGGTCCCCTAAGAAAACTACCTGTTTCGGTTTGAGTATCCGTGCAGTATCTCAGCCCCCGCAAAAATCGAATGATTTGTGTGGCGCATATGTATCTGGTGTCCCTTTGTACCAATATTTGTGTGTTTAAATAAATAAGTAAAATAAATTACAACTAATCCTTTGTGGACTACTATCATAAGTTTCGACTTTTACGCAGTGACTGAAAACTCTGGTAGTCTAAACATGCAAATAAAATAGGAATCAAAGTTACACTCGTAAACTGTTGAAAGTTTATTGATCTAACTGGAGTCATTGGGCGGATGAATCGTAATGTTGATGAGGTAGATTGCATTGTAGATGATAAGTCATTCGACTACAATTGAAAATGCCTAAGAAGCTAGTTGGAACACAAAAGTCGGTGAGGTAAATGACCAGAGTTTCGGTACTCTGCGGTTAGTTATTGCTAACTATTAACAGCAATGGTAATACAAACTCTGAACCATATTAATACACTCATTTTGAACTACATTTACTCGTCCTTGCAGCGATGAAAGTGATTGCATATTAGTAAAGTATATTCTGTAGATTGAAGAAAAAGCTTTATGTAAACTAACTGAATGAGTGTTATGTTACCACTTTGTTGGTAACACTGTAAATTTGATATGCTACAAACACTATCAAACAGCAGCAGTCACACAGCATTATTATTATTAATAGTTACGTAAGCACACAGACTAATTAATTTTTCTTTGCTCAATTCGTCATAGGTTAGAAATATGTTTTGTAATATCATGTCACAAGTTCATTAACAAAATTGATTAGAGACTTTATCTACACCTAACACTGATAATGGATCAGAAAATTTATGTATATTAATAGTTGTATGCATACAGATAAAAGGCTGACAGATGGAATCAACCGTTATGTACCTGAAGGTAGAATAAATATGATTATTCAGATTACATATTATCTTGTCCAATAAAACATCATGAAGATCGAATGCTTTGAGTTGATATCCACTGTGGTGAGGTCTCAAAACCTAACCCCATCTACACCAGTTTGAAAACCGGATAGGATCAATTACTTTTATTCTAGGTATGTGAATCAAACCTGAGTACACAAATCTGCACTTGTTGGGTAAGCTGTACGATTATCCTTATTATTATATATCAAATAAGTAATAAAACATTTTAATTAAGTCAACTTATTAGTTACCTGTTTAGAATTATACGAATCCTCAGTCAAATAACACAAAATTTTAGTTGCTGGAGGGAAGCGTTCAACGAATTTTACAGCAATAAATATTGCTGTAACACCAAGTAGCTGGTATTCTGATGGATATAAAGTAATTTGTCTCCAGGTATACTGATCAACTAAACTGACAGCTAGATGCAATGATTCTGTGCGCAGCTTTAAATATTGTTGAACCTAGAATTTAAACAAAAGATAATGTACATAGGAATTTAAAGCATAAGTTTCGGATTCAAATAAAAATCATGTATGAAAACGATTAGTTAATTTCATAATTTACATACCTCAACAAAAGGTATACGTAGCAGACAGTCGATACTGTTAAATCACGACTTCTATGAATCACTTGTAAATATCGAAAACCATGATATGTATTCTTCTCTTAAAAAAGAATCATTATGTTCAATGTTATTTTAAATGAACATTTAGACTAGTGGCTAACTGGACAGGTAACAATTCGATCATTTTCGTTTTATTTATTTATTTATTTAAACACATAATTATTCGTACAAAGGGACACCAGATACATATGCGCCACACAAATCATTCGATTTTTGCGGGGCTGAGATACTGCACGGATACTCACGGATATTCCATGTTCACCATCAACCCGGTTAAATCGTCGGACATTCGCTTTCCGTACTCTCAATTTCATGAACATCAATAGTGCCACAAGAAGCCAGTGAGTAGGACTTCCCTGGTAGTGGTTATATGCACGTGTTCATGTGAGCGTTTGGAGAGGGAGAGCTGACTCTCCCCACTATCAGCCGTACCAGGCATTGGGCGGCTATTTAGATGTAAGTAATCAAATTCACTTTGTGACCATTTAGCTGAGTGACTCAAACTGAAAGCATGCTGTATTTGAAGTCAAATGACCGGAAGCCATTAGCATTAAGATGTATTCTAAGTGGAAAGATCTGGTATCGTTTGCTTGGATGTTTTTTTATAAATTTCAACATGTTAATCTGAAATAACTTCACAAGTTGAGGGCAGAAAAATATTCGTTCAATAATTTGAGTAATTTGTTTCTGTGTTAGTAATTTAATTAGATTTAATCATTTTCCATACAAAATAAAGTCAATTCAGTCACATCATAGCTTAGTAGTATTTCTTCCTAAAATGAACCTGTCATTTGCACAAAAACTTCCACTATATTCCTATGAATAGTATTCCTTATGGATACACGAAAACAACTCACATAAAGGTAAAGTTCCTGAAGTAATTTTCTTTAAACTTTTAATCAAGTTACTGAGCATTATTCAATATCATAACTTGAATAGAACAGTTTTATTAAAATGAATATAGGTGGTACCTTTGAATGTGCTGGAGATACTTCTTATAACGGACTGTGACTTATACAGTTAAAAATGTTATAAATGAAATAGTAATAATAGGTCACTCTGTTACTAATTAATTAAAGTCAAAAATGACAACTTTCTGAATCTAACCCATTATTCTTAAGATACTTTATCTAATTACATTAGCTAAAGATGATTCGGTATAATCCTGTTTGTGATATTATACTGAATACTGATGGAATGTTGTAACTTATGGTAGAACATATGTTAAATATTTCCAAGTCTTCCATAATCTTGTATTTTGAGAGTAGTCCGTTATGTAAGCTAAAATTATTTCCATATATTTAGATTCATATATATCTTATTTCTACATGTTCGTGTATATTTACAAAAAACACAAGAATTGCTAGTAAGGGGACCAGGCTATAGTAAACATTCAAAAGTAAAATGTACTGTAATGATATTATTATAGTTATTTGATTAGTTACTTTTCCAGTACAATTCATCAATCCAGTTTAACTACCATGTATTGTAGCAAACATCGTGTTCATGAAGCTTCTGCAACACTATAATGGCGTTAATAAAACCTGTAAAGTACAAGTTCTGTTTTAGACATTATTGTTATCCATAGAAAGATTTTAGATGGAAATAATACTTGAAATACTCAAAAATAATTTTGTTACTTTGATCACAAACTGACATCACTTGAAAATCTACAAAAACATAGGGCGTTTTTAATGGCTGTTTCATCATAGTTTAGGACCTCTGAACGGTGGGCACCTATGAACCCTATTCACAGGAGAACACAGGACCTTCAGCTCATGCAAGGACCACAATACTGTTCGACCATTGAGTTGGAATTAAACTCTCTCGATTTTTCAAATCCAGTTATTTTGAATTATAGCACAATCCTGATTTTAAATTGTTTCCCAACTAGTGTTAATTCTGAATATAAATAATCCCTCGATTTAACAAGATCTTCAAAAACCAGCTTTATCTCTTTAATGATTAAACTCACTCTTATCATCCAATCGCAAAGAGTTGCTCTTACAGTTTCTGTTAAACCATGCCGTTCCAAGAAATTCGCTTGATAATACGAAGCCGCTTTCAAATCTTGGATGAATAAGTAACGAAAAATCTGTGTGTTGGGTTGAGCAGTCATGAATAAAATGAGAAAAATAGTGATTATATATCAAATATGGATCAGTATGAAAGATAAGACGCACAGTCCATTGTTCATTACTCAAAATACAGTGCTCCATGTACAATGTTGACGCTGGACAAGCAATTACACACTGTGATACATAAATAAATGTCTTTTCTATCAAACAGGCTAATATAAATTCATTTGCATTGGTTGTTTGGATCTTTTCATTGATGTTTAGGTATATAATTAACCAGGATCTTTCGATATGTGTGTATCCTGTGACTTGATGGCAATATCAGAGTAACCCTTACAGGCTGCACACATCCCAAAGGAGACTGGTCATTTGCAGTCCTAAGCATCGATGGGACGGTTCAAACAACCAAGACAAATAAATGAAAATCCAACCTCGTCACAGAACCCAGTAGCTATTTGAACTTATTAACCAAGTTGACAACTCAGTGGTGTTTGGATCAAAAGATATTGGGTTCAAGTGCTGGGATGAACATCAATTCTGGGACGTAGACGCACCCATCTGACGAGTCCCAAATGAGAAGAAACACGAATCATTGATCTCACTGCTAGCTACCATTCAACTATGCTTCTCGGGTTGATGTTAGCTTAATTACGCGTTAGTGATATGAGATTTGTTCTATAAAAGATTTATCGCCCTCAGAGGAAATTACTGAAGGAGATTACTGTTATCTGAAGTGATTCCAGGTTCTTCAAACGTTTTGAAATTATGAAAGAAATAAATAAGTCGTATCACTGAAGTCAGTCTTTTAGATTATCACTTCCACATATAATTCAATCTTTTTGATAAACGTTAGAAAGATGCGTATGTAACAAAGACTGATGACACCTGATAAGTTAATTATTACAGATTTGATTGATACCATCAAGTTAAACAAACCACATAGTTTACCCATTCATAGATCATTCATTATTTAATTAAGTGACGTCTCGAATTCTCACATTGAAATACTGATGCTTTAGGTTTACTTATCATACTTTTCATCGTCATTAAGAAAATGTATCAACACTCGCTGGTAGAGCCTATTCAGTAAGCAACTTCATTGTTATGAAACTCTCTACTAACCGTTCATAGTCTTTTTCATCATGGGGGTTGGCTTGGAAACACTTATTGGTTTTAGGTAACATGAACAGGATATCTGAACTTAAAAAGTGTGTAGAATTTGTTGCATTATCTTTATTTCAGATCACTTGTTACTGCAGTTTAGGGAAGATTACTTAAGCATAGACTGTCTAAAGTTACTCATTTGCTGCTTTTCAACATAAAGTGTTCCTTTAAAATCATTGAAAATAGTAACCTTCATTGTGATAGTTTTTTATTCAGTCGGATTTCAGTCGGAAGTTGAAATTCAAATATTTTTTCGCACAGCGACATCGATCATACTTGACTTTTGATGATAGTCATAGTGTGTATCTGATTATATTATAATTTCTTTTAAATACAAAAAATCAGATAAACAGCTAAACAGGTGCTTCTTTCGAGAGTGAATCTCCTTGGAGTTGATAGTGTTAAACTACAATCTTCAAGGTCTATGATAATTCCTTAAACAATGGAAAGATTATTTAATTAACTCAAATTATATCACTTGATCCATATGTATTCATGTTTATTACAGAACGCCTTCTTACTGAACCTCAAAGAAACATTTACTTTAAATCTTAAAACAAAGACCGACTTACACGTTCATGATTCAAGTGAAATTCTCCCAAATGTTTTTCATCGGCTGCAGATCGTGGCAGTGAAATCACTGAACAATGACTATAGTGTGGTTTTACTTTCTCGTTGGAACTATTATTATCATTATCACGATAGTATTCAGTAGGAATTTCATTTCTTGTTATCTCATTGTTAATCTCTTTTTCAAAAATTATGGGTAATTCATCAAAGAATAGCGCTGTCATCATTTTGGTGCTTTCTACGACAGACCATTTAATCAATCTTTTATTCCTGTTGTACTTGTATAAATCACTTTCCTGACTAGTAATTATTCCTTCCAATTGATCATCAACTATTTGATTATATGATTGACGTTGGAAAATACACTCCTCACTTTTAATCTGAATTTGATCCCATTCGGTTACTTTACGTATATTATCGTTTAGAGTAAGCTTTCGAAAATGTATCAATCCTACTACTGAATCATCTCTAGACTTGGATTTTTCTAAAGAATAATGTGAAAGAAATGAAGAATGGGAGAGACTCATAACACATGAACAGTCTTTATCATAGAATATCTATTAAGAAATATTTGTGTTCAAATGTTCCTAATCTATTTCATTTTTACAATCTCTTGTATGCATGATGAATATTACATGAAAGTAGACTAATCGGTTTCATTTTCGTCTAGATTGAATAGAAAAGAAGTGTATTTTATGAGAGAACACCTTTTACAACTACAGAAACTATTATCACTATTTGAAACTTTCTCTAACCCATTCTATTAATTTATCCAATCATGTATTTCTGAACTCAAACCACAACGATCAGTTAATTAGAAGTCAATTAAATGATCCTTATAACTAGGTGAAATAATGGAACGAACATGTAAGAATTAATGTAAAGTTGTTTGTGAGGATTGTAGAATCTTCATGCTTTCAACGATGAAGTAATCTTAGCTAGATCAGTTTAGAGGTTGAACGTTCGCTCTCAAGATCGAAGGTCATAGGTTTGACCCCTTATGGTGAAGCCGCAGATGCTCATAACTGAGCAGTCGCATTCTAGGATGAGATAGCCTTCCAGTGTTCCCTGGTATTCAGTGATGATCTATCTAAGTTCAGTTCGTGATTTAAATCTTGAAATTGAGTTTCTGTCTCATAAATCAAAAACCGGATCCCTAACCAATAATCTAATTTCAGTACTTTGTAAGATACATATCGATGGTGCAACCGAGTAAAAATAAGATTCCATATCATTTGTGACCTGTTACGAAATAAATTTCATTCATTTTTTATTAGAATAACTGATCTTTAGGTTGAGACTAAGTTGACAGCAACTAGGTATATTCACTGACAATAGTTGTGTCATATGAAAGATTGGCTAAAATCACAAAACAATGGTAACTGAGTACACAAAAAACACATTTATTACAGAATCTGAAATTCTCACATTCGATTGTGCTTCGAGTCTGACTGGCCGATTACTAATGAGTCCCAATATAACTAATTCCTGATATTATCTGATGTAAATCATCTCCAAAAACTAGATAACTTTACATAAATCGCACAAATTAAAATCAAAAATTGTTACGAGCAATAAATTACTAACGAACTTGTCAAAAAACAGTTTATTACCCGAGTTTAGTTTCTTCGTTTGTTCAGTATTATTGTTTTTGTTAGACTTTCTCAACTCCATCAAACCACGTGTTCTGATCGATTTAAAAGCACCAGTAGCACTACAGACAGTATTGCGTCGTAAACCAACATTCAAATTCTCTTTGCCAACTTTATTTGGATCTAAACCAATTTGATCATTTTTAGTGTATTGTTCATTTTCTTTATTGTACTGTACACTATGATGGCGACCAAGTGTACGCCGATTTTTCAATCCAGTTAATAAAATTGATCGACCATTGCCTTTTCTGTTAGGTGGTATAGTTTCTGTGTCTGTGGATGGTAATCCATCATGCTTTTTCTTAGGCTTCGTGAAACAAACATTTAAAATAGAAAGTGATAAATGTGATAACGTAAAATAATGTAGACGTATAATTGTGAGTTAACAGAAAATATTGATTATTAATCTTCTCATTATCAAGCTTGGTGACCTGATCAGTATAAAGTAGCGTATGCACAAAAAGAATTTGTACTTCATCTTCCTAAGGGTGATCTATGCAACGGAGAACTTACAGAATTTTTCTACGAACATGTTGGTTTGCAATCAGTAATTTATACTACTAGTAACGTTAAACAGATGTTCGTCTGTTTGCTAACATGCAACCCTATAGTATAGTCATTTCTTACCTCTGAATGTAAATACAGCCACTTGTAGTTTTAGAAATAAATAACTATTGATCGAGTGCAACATTAGTGGAATAGATTGGATTTAATATAGTTGATAGACTATCACCACCAAGGTCCTCTCGAGGAAACTGTCAGTCTGTACTGATCGATATGGTTGACAATTTATCTCCAGATTCAGTTTAGCTACTTCCATATTTAGTTCTGACGAGAATAATGGAAGACTTAAAGTTTGGTTTATCCAATTATTGAGAAAAATCTGTAGAGTAAAAACTATTGTTTTATATTTTATTATATGATGAATAAACCATACGAGAATGAACTACTAGTTACAAAGTCTTTATTGAGAATTCCAATGGTTGAGTAATTTTAAATCACTCAATAAGGTTATTGTTTAAGACTATCCAAGTAAGACCACAAGTTGTGGTTGCTGATATGAATCAGTCCAGTACTATACACGTCAATCTGAAGTTTTATTGAACAGATTACTTTTCGATCAATAGTGAATAACCATATCACTTTTCTGTTTTAAAAATAATTAGCAAAACATTTATCCAATCTATGTAAAGTGGCCAGTGAGTACAAGTTCAACTTTGTTAGACAGAATGACATATGTCATCTATTAAAATAGATCAATCCGAGCACGACGTTTAAAAGGTTGGTTGTACACAAAAATAACCAGTATTGAGGTTTTGGGTCAATTTAGTTTAAAACACTAATATTTGAACGAAGAATAGTCTTTTCGATAAACTCTCTCCAGGTTCTACAATTATATATCCAAATTATTAATGCGAAAAAATGGCCAGGTTAAAGACAAAGTACATCGTTTAAAGCGTGTAAATTTAGGATTGTCAAACAATAATAGAACAATGGTTTAGATCATGAGTCATTTGAAGCTAGACCACCATGGAAAGCCTGGAAGCACTGGACGGCCGTTTCGTCCTATTGTGAGAATCCTCAGCAGTGCCCATCCACGATCCCGCCTCACGAGATTCGAACCCAGGACCTACCAGTCTCGCGCGAGAGTGCTTAACATGTAGACCACTTCGCAGGCATCCAACGGTGTTAATGTCTAACTTCAACTGATCCACGAGATTTTTTAAAAATCTAAAGTCACTGGTGGATCTTTTGTGTGTCGATTCGACAATCCAAGTTGAAACAAATACAAACTGACAAAGGGATGTTTAGTAATAGTTCATGCGAGATGAATGATACTTATTAAAAAATTATGCAAATAATACAGTGTGTATGCACACTTTAAATGCTTCTAAATCATTTCTTAAATTAACAAATGTAAACAAATGGTAGCGATAAATCTGAGGTGTGTCTTTAAAAACCAACCATCTTTAAAGTAAATGGATTTTAAAAAGGAAAGGTATTTAATCATCTTAGTCAACTAAGCTTAGACATTTTTTCGTATGAAGCATTAACCATAACTAAGACTAAAAATTTTAATTACTGTTTTACTATTTTATTTAAAACATATCCGACAAGATAAATTTATATAAGCCCCCGAAAGCCCTGGTACAGCCGAGATTGAGGAAGGCCCACCCTCTCTCTCCAAATCCTCTCATACGGCCACGCGTATACAGCCGCTGACAGGAAAGACCTACTCACTGACTTCTCGTGGCATTATTGTTGTTCACGAAATTGAAAGGACAAAAACCGAATGTCCGACACTTTAACCGGGTTGCTGAACATGGAGGGTCAAACTAGAGGAGTTGGAAAATCCTAATTCCGAACCAATAGTGCACATGGACTCCAGTATCTCGAGGGAACAAATGGCGTATGAATCAATTGTTGGTCACCTGCTACCACGGGACTGCATCTCCTAAGGTCGCTGCACTGTCTTGTGGATCAGATTTTTAGGTCAAAGGCTCCGAGTGTGGCTCCCTAAGCAAACCACCTGTTTCTGTTTGGATACCCGTGCATTATTCCAGCCCCCGCATAAATCGAATGATTTCTGTGGCGCATATATATCTGGTGTTCCTTTGTATCAATATTTATGTATTCAAATAAAAAAATAATAAAAATTAGATGAATTAAATCTTTAATATTATACATACAATACTGAAAATTTTGTGCCTACTTGAAGTTCGTTAAAAAGCAAACTGAATTTCCGTATAAATTTCAATGATTTGATATCACTATGTGTTATATTTAGAGGACGGTATTCTGAATCGTATTATCCTGATTATTTGGCTTCCACCTTTTACAACAATCACCAGGTGGGTTTAAAATTTTATTATTTAATACTCTACTTAGTGAACTAGTCACTGTTCTTCAGATGATTACTACGTATTGGTTTTATTTGACCACAAACTATTTAAAGCGAAATAATGGATAATACGCTAACCAAGCTTGAGTAAGTATACTCTCTGAATAACATTTCGGAAAACTTCTTCAAGTACAAGGAAGAGCATCCTTAGTATAAGAGTACTCTCATTCTAATACTGAAATAAAAAAGGAGGTACTGGGAGAAATGTTTAATTTATCATCCTTATAGAAGGTAAGTTTTGTGACGTGGATGATCAAACAGACCAAAGAAATTAGTTGGCGTGTATAACTTGAAGACCGGAAGCTTTTAGCGATGAATTTTTAAGGGATTAATGTTTAAATATATACTTTCTTCATATGACTGATCGACCACTGAGCACTATTGATAACGTCCGTGACTATGAAGCTAAGTGAAACGGGATCAATTCCACCGTGGAGAAGCACTTCTCTCAAGATTATAGGTATACCTTGTCGATGAGTTTCAAATAGCAAGAAACCCAGGACTAGGGTTTCTGTCAACTACCTCCAACCACCACCTTACATATACTCTCTTAGCCTTATTCATTCAAAAGAAGGTTGAAAGTAAAATATAAAGATAAAGGATGAGGAGGAGAAGCAACTTTTAGTTACAGAGGTTCTAAGACAATTAATTTTTTCACTATTTTTAAACCATCCTCAGGTACTACAACTAAATTTCCCTTAGAAAGTTCGACTTACGGAGCAGGGTTTTAAAATGACAGTACACAGAACTAGAAGGAAATGCAACAGTGATTTTTGACTAGAAGTGCCTTAATCAAATGTCAATCGTCAAGATACTCGTTTTCTCACCTAGTACTTAGAATTATATTGTTGTTGTGTACAATCTGATATCACTGTTCATTCATCTGCCTGACTAATCGAAATTAATTGATTAATCAGTTTTCTAGTGTATTTATTTCAATGGTATTTCCGATTAGTTTAACACCGAAATACACACATATCTATATATTATAAATGAATGAGCAAATAGTCAAAAAAGACTATCCTAAACTGTGCAAACATAGATTACTTACAAATTCCCCAAAACTTCTTACCAAACGTCTGCAACCTGTCGAAGAAGACGATGATGATGATGTTGATGGTGTTCGTTTATCAATATATTTTAATCCACAAGACGATCTTTGTAAAGTCTTTTTAAAAGTGAATTTATGTGTAACTATTGTTGGCGATTTGTGCTTAAAACAATGTATCTCACAGAATTTTAAATGCTTTAAACAAACTGACATTGTTTGTAAGTGCCATCAACAGAACATTCGAAGGAATGATAGTAGGTGATGTAAAAGTTGTAGTGTTTACAAGTCATGGCGAAGAGACATGGATCATTTGTAAAGTGTTTTAACTTATTAAATAAGCTAATTTTCTTTTACTAAAATGACAGCAAAAAGGTGCATGTGTGCGCATCAATCCCTTTCCTATACTACTATTTTCCTCTGTATGAACGTTATGTACATGTAGTTTATTTTCACATAAATTAGTCTATCAATAACGAGTAATTTCATATCTATATGACTCATAATTAGGACAAGTAACTTTTAATAGATCCCATAAGTGCATGTAAATATTTAATGGAATAATCAGGCAATCGGTTAGTCTACCTTAACAAGTGCATTCTAATGATCTACACATATAAATAATCACTTTAGTATTATTATTTAAACTTATTGATAGATGTCAGTCCTTTGCATTCTACTGATTATTATACCCTATATGTTACTTGATTTCAACTCAGACTATATCTCTGAGCGATTACACAGCTGATAGATTACGCAAATTATGGCTTTTTTTCAGTTCCAGTTCAGTTTGTAGCGTTGATAGAGGTATACAACTATACAATAGATAATGGAATCAAATACCATTAGCTGTTTGTCTTAAAATTACAGGAAAAGTGATACTGATAAGATTTTTGATAGAAAACCTTTAAATCAATCGATAAATTAGTTAACATGGATGTTGATTATTTTGATTCACTGTAAATCTTTATTTAAGGATATTCAGTTTAATGTAAGTCGAAACAGAGTCAGGTCATTATCTTGTACAACCTTTTTTGCATGAAAATTGTGTAGGCACATTTGTTACTGAGATAAGAACCAAACGTAACTTCATGAATTTCATTATTATCAAGTGTTTGGGGAGTATACTCTGGTATCACTTTAACATTGATATCTAATAGCGTGAGTTTTCAAAACAATGAATGACATTGCTTTCTTTTTAAAATAATGATTATGCATTGAGGCTTTTAAATAATAGATATACAAATATATAATTCACACTTGCAAAACGACGTATAACAATGACACAATGCTCCACTGACTCGATGTTTGTCACAATACGTTTATTTATTTATTTATTTAAACACATAAATATTGGTACAAGGAAGCACTAGATAAATATGCGCCACACAAATCTCATTTGATTTGTGTGAGGGCTGTGATACTGTCCAGATGCCCAGAATGAAACAGGTGGTTTTCTTAGAAGGCCACACCCCGAGCCTTTGACCTGAAGGTCTAATCCACAAGGCAGTGGAGCATCGTAAGGAGATGCAGTCCCATGGTAGCAGGTGACCAACGATTGGTTCATACGCCATTTGTTCCCTCAGGATACTGGAGCCCATGTTCACCATTGGTTTGGAATCAGGGTTTTCCAACTCCCCTATGTGGACTTTCCGTGTCCACCAACCCGGTTAAATCGTCGGACATTCGCTTTTCGTCCTCTCAATTTCGTAAACAACACCCCCGCCACGAGAAGTCAGTGAGTAGGACTTCCCTGGAAAAGACTATATATTCGCGTGGCCATGTGAGAGCATTTCGACACAATACGTGCTTTTTGTGTAAAATAATTTTTAGTTTCTAGTGAATATTGTAAATAAAGCCAACTTTGTAAACTCGTTATTTTTTGGAAGATTTGAGCAGAATTGTAATAAAGTCTAATACAGAACCGTTATCACTGAAATATTAGGTTGATGATTTAGGTAAAATGAAATTGGTTACTACTAGTTCTACTAATATCTGTTTTTTGAGGATCAATATTAAAAAAGTCATCAGTAACTCTGTGACTTTCAACATTGATCATATAATTGTTAAAAAATATATTCTTAGTCAACTCGTCAGTAGATTTTCCTTCTGAAATATATTCAGCTAGGAATCAGGATAAATTTCGTGAGCAATTAATAGTTCTACCACCTACCAACCAGGTTTTCCAATGCTGACAGTCAAGACATCATAAGCTTATTGTTGATCATAGAACATTAACTATGGGTTTGTTCCCTATGACAGATAGTTAACCTCTTAGGGTTAACTATATAACAATCATTATAAACTTAATTAAAAAACTAAGAAGTTATGAATGTGAATTTCTAAAATCAATTTCATTCAATGGATCTAATACACGATCTATCTATCTATCTATCTATCTATCTATCTATCTATCTATCTATCTATCTATATATATATATATATATATATATATATATATATATATATATGATGGATAATATTAACAGATTTATCTTAGTTCACAAGTCAAATTACGTAATATTACCAATTAGATAATAAATAATTCTCATTGTTCAATGAGTTCTATTCATTTTTTAATAATGATGAAATGGTTGTAAAAATCAAAAGAACTTTTTTTTCTTTTTTTCATGATCTAAGCTGATTTCATGTTTATAGATGAAGTATATGCTTATTTACATTAATAGAAATTGATTATAGTTGAAAGCGTGAGTCAATTGAAGCTAGACTACAATCGAAAACCTGGAAGCACTGGACGGCCGTTTCGTCCTATTGTGGGACTCCTCAGCACTGCGCATCCACGATCCCGCACTCGCGGGATTCGAACCCAGGACCTATCAGTCCCGAGCCAGAGCCCTTAACCGATAGACTACTGAGCCGGCATCTAGCGGTGTGAATGTCTAGCTTCAACCGATCCACGAATTTTGAGCAACCGTTCACCAATTGTCTTCAGTGAGTTGTTATCTCACAACAGACGTGGTTGAACTCCACTGGTCACTGCTTCCCACTAGAACTCCAGGACATGTATCTTGAAGTCAGCCACTAGTGAGCATATGATTATAATTAGAAGAGGTTTTTGTAGAGATTTCAGTATTTTTTTCAAAGTTGAAATCATGAGTCAATTGATTGTTTATTAGATTGTTTAAGTTACTTAAAATATTAAAAAAACTTTCATTTATATAGTTCCAAGATTTTTTAAATTTATCTGCTTACATCATTTTGTCGACATTTAAAAGAGTTTACGGTGAAAAGTTGTAAAAATTATAAGAAATTATTAATGAAATGATTTATGAATAATAAAAGCCCCTAAATGTCCTGATACGGCAGAGAGTGAGGAGGGCCCACCATCTCTCTCCAAATCCTCTCACACGGCCACGTGTATATAGCCTCCGCCAGGTTAGTCCTACTCATTGCCTTCTCGTGGCATTATTGTTGTTCACGAAATTGAAAGGACAAAAACCGAATGTCCGACACTTTAACCGGGTTTGTGGTGAACGTGGAGGGTCCACCTAGGTGAGTTGGAGAACCCTGATTCCAAACCGATGGTGCACATGGGCCCAGTATCCTGAGGAAAAAAATGGCGTATGAATCAATCGATGGTCACCTGCTACCACGGGACTGCATCTCCTAAGGTCGCTGCACTGTCTTGTGGATCAGATTTTTAGGTCAAAGGCTCCGAGTGTGGCTCCCTAAGCAAACCACCTGTTTCTGTTTGGATACCCGTGCAGTATCCCAGCCCATGCACAAATCAAATGATTTGTGTGGCGCATATATATCTGGTGTTCTTTTGTACTAATATTTATGTGTTTAAATAAATAAATAAATAAGCCAAAATTAAAAATCCAACGTTTTGTTAAATAATATAATATGAACTTTTTTAGAGAAAAAAGTATCAAAAAAATTATTTCTTGTCCTTTTCTGGATCGGATTATTTTTTCGGAGAGTTCATTATAGTGAAAGTATTAGCGGACAAGATTAACAATGGCTGACATTTCTATAAATATAATGAGATATTCTATTGTTAAAAGCCGTACATACTTTTCAAAACTGAACTCAAGGTATCAAATTATTCCAAGGTTTTGTGGTAAAAAATACAAATGTTTAGTGGGTTTTTCTTAACTCAAAATGTTTGATTACAATAAATGATAGTTTTTTACAAGTTTTCTGAGGTTAATACTTATTTTCGGATATATATTTAAGATCTTTGAATTGTATATCCTGCCATAATCTAATTTGTCATAAATATTCAATGCTTACCTTTCTATAGTGCATAGAACATGAAATACTTCAGACTGAAATATATAACCAAGTTTGTCACTACTACAGTGAATGATATTACACTCTAATTCATACTATTTGTATAATTCTACGCATAAACGAGTAAAGTATTAACACTGGTAAAAACCGAACGTCATTCGACGACTGTTTCGTCCTAGTTTGAAACTGTTTAGTGATAGATACAAACGATTTCACATGATTTATTTATTTATTTAAACACATAAATATTGGTATAAAAGAGCACCAGATACATATACGCTAAACAAATCTCATTTGATTTGTGTGAGGGCTATGATACTGCTCGGGTGCTCAAAACGAAACAGATGGTTTTTTAGGGAGCCACACCCCGAACCTTTGACCTAAAAATCTGATCCACAAGACAGTGCAACAACGTGAGGAGATGGTGATCGGTGACCAACAATAGATTCATACGTCATTTGTTCCATCAGGATACTAGAGCCCATGTTCACTATTGGTTTGGAATCAGGGTTCTCCAACTCACCTAGGTGGACCCTCCACGTTCACCACCAACCCGGTTAAAGTGTCGGACATTCGGTTTTCGTCCTTTCAATTTCGTGAACAACAATAATGCCACGAGAAGGCAATGAGTAGGACTAACCTGGCGGAGGCTATATACACGTGGCCGTGTGAGAGGATTTGGAGAAAGATAGTGGGCCCTCCTCACTCTCGGCCTTTTTTAGGGCATTTGGGGGCTTCTCATATGAAATTGAACTTCAGGTCTCATATATGAGGATGATATTGTTAAACAACTGAGACAAAATCCAATAAGAAAATCAGTAGACAAATATTCCTCAATAACTAACTGCTAGAGCCGTTTATCATGTTATATCAATGTAGTGACTTTGGATTTTGCCTTAGTCATTCAATAGCATCTCATTACCCACAAGATATGGATTCAATTTCATATGGAGTTGATTTACCAGTATTTGATTCTCAATCATTCTATATTAGAGATTAATCAGTCATTAATGTAAACTATTTATCCATCATTCAGAAGATGCAGGTGTTTATTAACAGTTGTCTGAGCAAAATACTTCGAATCTGATGGCCAGACACTATCAGCAACAACCTACTGTGGGAGAAAACAAACCAGATTTCAGCGGAGGTAGAAATCAGGAAGAAGCTCTGCAAGTGGATAAGACACACATTGAGGAAAGCAGCCAACTGCGTCACAAGGCAAGCACTT